ACTTCATTCGTGGAACTTCTCATCCTTACACGAATCTGTAGTTGAACCACCCATATAAGGTGAGTTCACACTCCTATAATCAATCTTTTAAACTGTTTTAAATGCTTTTAAGGGGGGGGGGGGGGGAAATAGAAGTTAGACACAATGTTAGGTGTGTCAATTTTTTGTTATAAACATCTTTTAAAGGAGTGCTTATGTATTTATAATTGATCAAAACATTTCAAATATTCTTTTAAAGTTATGTTACTTTATAGTTTTCAAAACACTGTTTTCAAAGTGCGAACATAACTAAGTAGATAAATGAGTCTTTTATTCAAGTCAGTAGCAGTTCAAAACAGACATACTAGTAAACTATAATAGGTATAGTTCAGGGGTTTAAAAACATACTAAAATGAGAAACAGAGAGGAACATACTACATACTAGAACATAAGGAACATACTAAAACAAGGACAAGATAACATTTATGTGAGACTATTTCACAACTTAGCAAACTACATTTCTAGGTTGCGTTTTGTAACCAGTGTGATGAGTTTGTGTATAGATCTATGTGGGATTGACACCCAACACTTTGCTGTTAGCTATAGTAAACATCCAAGGGTGACAAATATCACATTTCGCGTTGACGACTTAGGTCGTCAGGTTCATCACGTGTCGTATCAGTATGGTTACAACCACATCACATCTTAACCTTAATTAACCAACTAGTTTTAAGGTAGTCAGTACTTTAGTAGTCCCTTTAAAATACTACTGTGTACTTTCATCATTACAAAAGATAAACAATTCAGTTGAGTCTTAGTACATTCGCATAAAAGGGGCCTATAATGCTAACTTTATGATTCCTTAGTAGATAAATCAAGGATATATATTAATCAGGATCCAAAAGATAGTAGAATGTGTGCTTTCCGCTTCATTTCATGTTCCTTGTTTGGTTGTGGGCTTAGAACAGATGCACCCAATCCACTATCTATTCAATCTCAGTTATAAATATATATCCCGTATACACCAAGTAATCATAGGGAGTACCAGCTATGGGCTAGGTTATAGTATACAAAATCAATACATCATTTTCTAGTACAAAAACATACTTTTCAATTAGAACATTTGGTAGACAAAACTAGAAACTTACCAGTAAAGGGTTTAATCCATTTTATTAAACCAATATAACTTAAAGGACCTTAGGTGGTTAATTCTATAATACCTTAGTCTATTCATCAGGGTTATATATAATTAATACCCGATAGGTAGTTGGATGTGTTCTTTCCGCCATACTTCCTGTTCCTTGTTTGGTTGTGGGCTTAGGGCAGATTTACACAAGTAACTATATATTCGATATTAGATTATATATAGCTAGTATAAACAAAGTGATAATAGAAGGACCCATTGTGTTTACCATTTTTACTAAAAGAAATAATGGTTTTCTTAAAGAATGTATTCATCAAATATAAAGGAACTAGTGCAGTTAACTCCGTGAGTACCAAGTGAATACGTCGGGGTTATATACAACGATGATCTAACAAACAATGGGAGATATGCCTTCCGCCTCATTCCCTGTTCCTTGTTTGGTTGTGGGCTTAGGGCAGATACACACAATCGATTGTTTGTTTACTTTGAGTTTTATATAACTTGTATCCATTTAGTACTCATAGAAAGGATCGTAGAGTCATTTTTACCTATCTTTCATCAAAGCATGAAATATATGATTTTTTGGAGAAACAGACGAACTTTTCTAAAAAGAACTTACAACTTAATTACATCACTAAAATCTTATGAACTCACCAACTTAATTGTTGATCATCTCTTTTAAAATAACTTGTATCCTTAGGAAACTAGAAGACACGTACGTGCTCTGGGATTCAGAAGATGCAGCATAATAGCTTCATGTCTTGTTTGGTTATTTACATATGTAGTCTATGTTTTGTGAACCACATACTTTGTAAACACTTTCTTTTTAATGAAATAGTTGCTTATTACTTGATTACTTTGATGCATATCTTGTGATACGTACTAAACATGATGTCCTCCGCCCCAAATGTTTCCGCCGTTCCAGTTTGGGGGTGTGACAACACTCTGCACCACCCTTATTTGCATAATGTTTATCAAGTTTATAGTTGGTCAACAAAATTAATTCATTATACTTGAATACAAATTGATAACACAAATCGCTAACATTGATTATTAAAACACATGTTCATTTGATAATATCTCACCATTTTTTATGGTAAATTTTTAGCGACTAGTTTTGGACAATAGCTGAAAACGTTTTAATAGTTTATCAAAACAGTTTAATTTTTGTAATGTAATTCTTTTTTTTTTTTTTATCAAGAAAACGATGATTTATTTAAGAAATACAATTATCGACATTTAATCATTGTGTTTAATAAGCAACAAGTTGGTTTGATTAGCTCAAGACAAGCACGCTTGTCTTATGGCCATCTTTGTCATTGCTTACACAAATGCATGGTCAACCCTTGTAATCTACTCATACTCATAACTTCTAAATATTTACTTCTATGATTTCATATAATAATGATAATATTTGGGTAAAAAGATTAATTAATGGAAGTATTTGATTCTTAATCACATGACTCCTTTGTATAATATTGCCTTCATGTTATGAAAATTCTAATGTATAACCCAACATATAATTTTTAAAATTGTTTAATTGTTTAGAAGTATATTAGATACTTTGATAAACCATAAAATGTTATAGGCCTAAATAAAAATTGTTATTTTAGAATAATAGTTTTCTCTCAAGAAATGTGAAAACCTTTTATCTTTTCTATGAAGATATCACAAATAGAATTTTGTTGTAATTTTCAAAAAGATCTCAGTTTAGAATCCACACCATAAATCGTCTTATTTAAGTAGATGAACTTAACATGTCTTTAACACACTTTTAAATAGGGGTGAGGAAACCCAAACCAAAAAACCGAGAAACCGACTAAAACCGACAAAACCGAAACCGAAAAAACCGAAACCGAAGCAAAACCGACGGTTTGGGTTTGATATTTTTAGAAACCGAAAAATCGGGTTCGGTTCGGTTTCTAACCAGAAACCGACCCATCCAACCCAAGAAACCGACACATACTTAAAACCGACAAACCGCCCCAAGAAACCGACCCATCCAACCCGAGAAACCACCCATACTTGATTGTGTTTTAGTTATAATAGACTATTTCGGGCTTTAGTTGTAACTTGTAATTGACTATTTGTGTAAGACTCATGTTTTTTGAAGTACTTAACTTAAATTTGTTATTTTTTGAAGTATCTAACTTGTTGCTTCATTTATGGAAAATGGGTTAAAACCTTAAACCCAGAACCCGTGAGTGTATGGGTTGAACCCAAGAAACCGAAAAACCGCCCAAACCGACCTCAGAACCCAAGAAACCGAACCGACCAGAAACCAATCCTATTGGGTTCTAAAAACCAGAAACCGACCATTTATGGGTTGGGTTGGGTTTGAGTCCAAAACCGACCCAAACCGACCCATGCACACCCATACTTTTTAAAGTTTTTCATATAAAACAAACACTTTTTACTTAAGTCTTTGCATACGTGTACGTACGTATATCCTAAATGCATGCCTTCGCTGACTCTAGCCATTCCATCTTGTGGCCTTATAATTATAGTTAGTGGCTTACATACGAATTATAAGCCTTAAGACTTTTAGAACCGATTAGATAAGTAAATTGAACTCGTGCAAACAACCAAACACAATAAGCATAATTTATAATATTTGGACCGAAAGAAACAATACTTATAATATCACTACTAACCAACTTCTTAATCAAATAGGTGTTTTTGAAAAATTTATTTACCTAATAGATATACTTTTAAAATTATTTACCAAATTGGTTATTTACTTATAAATAAATATTCTGCCATAATTCTTTCTTTCTTACCGAACAAACTCCGCCCTTGATAAAAAATGAAGCGGCCATATGTCTGTTATCTCCACCGGCGAATCCTGCAATGTCTCCAGCTGGCGACTCTACTCCAGGCGACTCCACTCACAGGTTCAATCCCACTGCCTTTGTCCAATTTTTGAATGTAACCTTCGATTTATGCATTTTCGATTTTGAAATGTAATCTTCTTTTAGGTTTACTCTAGTGGTTCTTATTTGAATAGACTAGGTTTTTTAAATTTCATGTCTACATTTACGAGTATTTCGAATGGCTGTACAGGTTCACTCTATTAACCTAAGATCTTAATAAATTAATATGATATAGTTGTTGTAATAAATTCATCTTAGCTTGCATGCTTTTTAAAACTGATTAAACCATTTAAATCATTTCAATTTACGTACTCATATTTAGGTATTCACCTATAATTACGCCCGTTAAAAATACCCAATAATTACTAAGAATGTATAAAACTCAATTGTTTCCTTTATTTAAAAAATTAAAGCCTAAACAATCTAGAATTATTTCCAATACTTTCATATCTGAATACTTAAATAATACGTAAACTGATTAAATATTCCTTTGAGATTTGTTTTATATAATATATGGATTTGTGAACTAGGTCAAAAGTCAACCTTTGATATTTATCTTCGCAAGTGGACGGACATGATTTATTTAAAAAAAGGTTACTTAAATTTGATAATTATTCTGTCATAGTACTTACTTTTATAGTAAAGTTCCATGTGCAATATGATAGGAAAGCATGTGACAAGCTCTTGTATATAATCCCTTACCTATGCTTCATGTTTTCTCAACCCTAATACACAACACACAAAAGCTGAAAATGGCTCAAATTATTCTCTCATTCTTGGTCATCTCTCTCACCATCTTTGGTTTTTTGGGCACAATTGAGTCGCGCTCACGTGCAAGGATGTACCTTCAGGCACAATGCCAACCAACAATATACTTTGATCTATGTGTGAGAACTCTTTTACCCTATACTACCAAAAAAGAACTACCAAGCCCACGAAGATTAGCTCAAATCATGCTAAACACATGTCTAGTCAAAGCTCGATTTACTAAGGTATATGTAGGCATGATAGCAAAACAATACAACAAAACAAAGAATCCTGGAGAATACCAGGCTTTGAAAGACTGTCTGAATCAAATAAGTTATGGAGTAAACCAAATTACTCAATCCGTCAAAGAATTACAACAAATGGATACAGATGTGGAAGAAAAATTTGTGTGGCATGAGAGTAACATTAAGTCGTGGGTAAGTGCTGCCTTAACGGACACTACAACATGTATGGATGGACTTTTGGGGGACACACTTGGGAATAAGGTAAAAAGTATGATTAAAGCACGGTTTTTGAACGTTAAACAACTCGCTAGCAATTCTCTTGGGATCTTCAATCGTTTCACTACAAGGCATCGTGCTTCTCGCGCCATCAGGAACCCCTAA